AAAAAAAAAAAAAAAAAACTTTTTCTATATATATATTATGGAATATAAAACTTTACGTGTGATTTATTTTTTTTTTTAAACGTATACTACAACAACAACAACAACAACCGTCTCCGTTTTTTTTTTTTTTTTTTTATACTTTCTATACATCTCTTTCTCTCTCTCTCTCTCTCTCTTTTATCTATCTTCTTAAATCAGGTTTTCTAGGTTTTAAAAAACACGAATAACATTTTACGGTTTTTTTTTTAATTTATAAAAAACCTCAACAAAATGTTTTTAAAAAAAATAAACACCGAGTATATATTATAAAAAAAAAATTTTTTTTCATATTTTTTAATTGTAAATAATAATAATAATAATAATAATAATAATAATAATAATAATAATAATAATAATAATAATAATAATTTTAAATTTTTTCTGGTAAATAAAAAATTATATACTTCGATTCGAAAAATTTAATTAATTCGAACTATGGAATATTATTTATTTATATACATATATATTAAATTGCCGACAATGAGTGAAAAGTTAATAAATAATTTAAATACGTGACCCCCATAACCCCCCACCAAAAAAAAAATCATTCGATAAACCACACACACACGCGTTGGAATTAATATAAATAAATATGGCGACAAATTTACGTCGCTAAATTTAAAATAAAAAAAAAAAAAAAATAGATTTGCACGTGGCATCACGATTTTTAAATATAAATATAAACAAAGACCCACGTGAGAAATATTAATAAATTTAAATAATATAAAAATAATATTGTGACTCTTTTTTTCTTCTTTAACGCGCCATTTTATTTTATTATTCGTCGTAAAATTTCAATTTTTTGGGGGGTAAATTATGTGAACGGTAACGAAATTATTTAAATAATTAATTTAAAAAAAAATCGCAAAAGGGTTTTTTCTAAATTATTATTATTATTGGTATTATACACAGGTTCGCGATATGTATTGGGTTTTATAAATTTTAAGAGGTCTAATTTGTATACACGTAAATTATTAAAATATTTGTTCGTACAGGTTTTTCCCAAAAAAAAAAAATTGCATGTATGAAAAATACAGGTTTAAAAAATTTGTATTGTGATAGATTTTAAATTTATTTATATTATTATTATTATTATTATTATTATTATTATTTCGTGTGCGTAGTATAATTTATCAATTATAAAACCTTATTAACATATTTGTAAAAATAACAAGAATAATAAAAAAATTATTATTATTATTATGAGAGGAAAACACGATCGATACACTTGTCAGAAAAAAAAACAAATTTTTTTACGAATTTTACCGTTAGATGAAATCTATAAAAAAAAATTTTTTAACAACTTTTTAAAAGATGGCTGTTGTTGTTGTTGTTGTTTGTTGTTTGGATTAATATCTAAAAAATAAATAAATTAAAAAAAAAAAAGTTGTCTTCGACGTTCATTAAAAAAAAAAAAAAAAAACTAACATGGAGAACTTTAAATAGTCTTTCTTTTTTTTTTTTAGTCAGGATGTTTCGCGGAATTTTAATAGCATGATTTTTTTTTTAAAATGTACGTCACTAATTGGAGTTTAGTTATTTAAAATTACATTAATTATAGTCTTTGAATAAAAAAAAAAAATGTAATTTGTAACGATTCGAATTTTCATTTTTTTTTAAATCTTCTTCTTCTACTAATAATAATAATGGCTAACATTCTTTCTCTTTTTTTAAAATTAAAAAAAAAAAAAAAAAATTGATTCCGGCCAGGATCGAACTGGCGACCTTCTGCGTGTAAAGCAGATGTGATAACCACTACACCACGGAACCCATGCTCAGAACCCACGTTTATTTTTATATTTAACGTAACGAAGTAAAATAAATGCAAAAAAAGATGATAGTGAAATTTACTACGTACAAATAGATAATATATCATCAACGTGATATTTTTCCGACATTTTGTTTTCTTTTTTTTTTTTTTTTTCTCAAGATAATTATTTCAAATTTTGATAGGTTAATTGGCGAAAGTATATTAAACATTATATATATATATATACATACCTTCACAAGAAAATTAAAATTTTTTAAAATGATTTGCTTAAAAAAAAAAAAAAAAA